GCGAAATGAAAAGCCAAGCGTCAAACTGGATTGTAAAAATGTGTCGAGATTGTCAAGCACCAATTGAGAGGTTGATGCAGCGTCATCCTCAGTACTCGAGTGTGAGCCACGCGATGAGCGTGCCCATAAGCATAACTGCACTCGTCATCGCTGTAGTCGCATCCGAGGACCGCCCCAGTAGCACGGGGGTGCTGGTGAGGTTGAGCGTTAGCCGCTGGCAGTCGCTCGAGAAGATAAAAACACTCGCGAGCTTTGCGTTGGGTGAAAAGGGACTGGTGCAGCCGCCCGACACGGTCATGATCAGAAAGGTCGCGCGCTGTTCCGAGATGGCGTACCGCCCCATGATCGAGCACGTGGGACCACTGCCGCTTTCGCTGGACTCGGTGAACGTCCCGTCAACCAATAGCGTCAGGCGCATCCCCGTCGCAGCGTACGTGCCGACGACCGGGCACACGGAGAGCGCCGGGGTGGGTGTCGGGGCATATGTCGGGGCGGGTGTCGTCATGGTCATCTGGACCGTAAAGTTGCACGGCGCGTGGTAGTCGTTGGCGCAGTAGATGACGAGCACATTCTTGCCCGAATTCGCGTATCCGGACGCCGCGTACGATTCGCCTTGAAACGCGAGTGCTGATCTGCTTCCGTAGCGCAGCCGATCATAATCATACGCGTCCAGCATGCCATTGTAGCCAAACACTTTGAAGTTGTCCACGGAGCTGACGTAGACCGAGTACGGCGTTGACGGCAGCGCGTCGTCGCACGCAAAGACGAGGTACGGCGCGGTCGGCGTCGTTTGCACCGAGCGCGCGTAATACGAGCACGTCTCTCGAGAGGTCATGGACGAGTTCGTGAACGCCGGCTCGATGGACCCATCTTCCGAGATGGGCACCGGCGGCGAGGTCCGAAAGTTGTAGTTGACACCGACAGTGCAAGGCCGATCGTCATGGTTCATTCCATTGATGCACAGGATCGTAACCGTGTACGTGCCGGATTGCGTGAGCAGGAGGCTCTCGGTGCGTGTGCTGTAGAAAGCGTACGGCGCGATGATAGTGTAGCAGTCGTTGAGACACCAACTGCCCGCGGCTCTCGAGCCATAGTAGATGCCGACGCTAAACGCGTCCAGAGTGCTGTTGAACGTCGGTGTGAAGAGGCCTGGCTGCACAAAGTCGCAGACAAACGTGATCTCGTCGTGCGATGTGGTTGTCTCGTACGTCCCCGAGTAGCTGCAGCCAGTTATGCTCGCGAGAGCGCGATGCGCCGCTGGCAAAGGCGGCGACCACTGCAGACCCCACGCGACGTGGCACGCGTCGGTCTTGCCACAGGCGACGATGACCGAGAAGCCACCAGACTTGGGCGCGACGGTCGTCGAGTTTTTCACGTCAACGTCAGTGAGGCGGCCGTCGTCCAACACAAACACGTCGAAGACATCGCCAACGTCGGACCACACCATCGGCGCGCCTCCGTTTGTTGGGATTAAGCTGCTGCCGGCCGTGACGTTGGCGCAGTGCAGCGTGAGGTTACCAAGAATGTTACCGGACGACTCCCAAATACAGGCGCGGGTTGAGGCAGCCAAGAGGGCAACGGCGTGAAGAGTAGTGACGCGATTGACCATGTCCACGTGCAAAGCTCAAATGCAGGTTCTTGGCGGGTTCTGGTGCTACTTGGCGAATGGTCGAGGGCGGCAGGTATTTTTGCGAGCAACGGTAGGGTCCCCAAAGGTACTAGGCGGGTAAGGAAGGTACACACACGCGTCGACTCCAAACGGACAAGCCGCCCATTTTTTCTATTTTCAGACAGCGCCATCGGATGATGGAGTCGACCAAAGATACCAAAAACGGTGCTGACACCCAGTCTACATGGTGGTTTAGCCAGCGAGGGACGGGACCATAAATATGATGATGGAGTTGTGTAGTAACCCAAGCATATACTGATAGCTACATAGAAGCAGGTGGTGTAGATCCACTCGCGATGCGTCAATCCCTCATGTCATAGAATCGAGATTCCGCAGACCCTTGGTGGTGTGATGGGCTTCAAATGGACCCGTTCACGGTCCATTTCTCCTGTTGTAGACATGGCATGACGACGAGACTTGGTGTTTTGGGACCTCTACATAGGGGCGAATACACTTGTCAAGTATGAGCGATTTCACGTTGAGACGCAATTCGGCCGGTCGCGGCCCATGGCGGCGGCGTCGTGGTGCGTGCGGCTTTAATAGGCTAGAAAGACAATTAAATTGGCCAATCAAAATCATTCACTCGAGTTGGTGAATTGTCGGCTAGAGAAGTGTGTTTGTGGCTCTACCAGTTAGGGGTCTTGATTCCTGCGACGGTAGGAAACTACTTCTTGGTCAAAAATGCTTCTTGGTGTGTATATCCCGAATGACACAGTCTTTATTAGTATCGACACACTCACAATTAGCTCGACACTATTCAAGACACTATCTATTGAACACTATTATGTGCCGCCGTTAAAATCGACACGAAATAGTCTATGACACGAAGTTGGAACGTAACTTCGAAAGCAGCGATGGCCGACCCAAGCCACTCGGACGGCGGCGACTCGTCGTATGGCGAGTACGCACTGCATGACGCTGTCGAACGCGGCGACCTCGACGCGCTGCAGACGGCTCTGGACGACGACGACGAGGCCTTCTTCACGGCGCTGCGCGAGCCCGATGACATGGGCAACACGCCGTTGCACACGGCCGTCTTGCACCCGACGGACGCGGTACTCGCCTTCCTCTGGGGCTTTGGCCACGACAAGCTCTCGGTCGACTCGCTCTGCAACGGCGTCCCGCTTCTTCATCTGTGTCTGCGCATGGCGGCCTTTCCCGAGCACCGCGATCGCATGCTCGCCTTTCTGCGCACGCTCGTGGCCGACGCCGCCTTCATGGCCGACCACCGACTTCTCGAGAAGGACGACATGGGCAACACCGTCTTCCATCTCGCCGCCGCCGTGAATCTGCCGGCCGCGATCGATCTCTTCTACGGCGCCTTTAGCGAGCCCGACGTCCCGCTGACGGTGCTCCTCGAGACGAAGAACCGCGCCGGCAACCGCGTTCTGCACGTCGCTGCCAAGTACAAGAGCGCGCAGGCTGCAGCGCGTCTCGTCGAGCTGGGCGCCGACGTCTTTGCGACCAACTCGTACGGCCAATCGCCCTTGCATCTGGCCGCGGCGCTCCAGGACGAAGCGACCTTGACGGCGCTGTCCGCCGACTGGAAGGGTCTTGCGTGCAAGGACGGTCTCGGGCGGTCCCCACTCGATATCGTTTCCAGCATCTCGACGCCGGCGCTGCCGACCTCGACGTTTCTCTTCCACCCGGACGCGATGGAGCACTTGCCGCTCGCGGGGCACATTCGGGGCGGGACCGAGCCGCCGCCCGAAAACTACGAGCGCATGAAGACGCTCGTGACGCCGGGCCTCGGCATCCTCCGCACGGCGCCGTTCGCTTCGGTGCAGTGGGCGCACGACATTCCTGTCGCCGACGCCGCCGACGTCCTCCGCGTCCACGAAGTTGGGTACATTGAGAAGCTCAAGACCATGTGCGCCCGCATTCCACACCACACCAAGCTCGTACTCTCTCGTACTCTCGGCCCATTCTTATTCCGGTCCGTAGACCAAGGCACAGATGGACGAGTACGCTCAGTACTGCATCGACCCCGACACGGCCTTGTCGCAGCAGTCGTACTTGGCCGCGACCCGGGCCGCCGGCGTCGTGTGCGCGGCCGTCGACAAGGTCGTACGTGGCGAGACGCGCAATGCGTTTTGCGTCGTGCGGCCGCCGGGGCACCACGCGGGGCCCGTCGGCAAGGTCACGTGCCCGCACGACCCGGTCGGCAGCCAGGGCTTTTGCCTTCTGAACAACGTCGTCATTGGCGCGGCGTATGCGCGCAGCCACTTTAAGCACCAAGGCATCCACAAGATTGCGATTCTGGACTTTGACGTACATCACGGCAATGGCTCGGAAGAGTGCCTCAAGCAGCTCAAGCCGCGCACCAAGACCTTCCCGCTCGAGACGCCGTACGGCAGCAGCGCACAGACCGTCCACATGTACAAGCCATGGCGCAACGAAGACGATGCCGACAATGTCTTTTTCTGCTCGGTGCACGGCTATGGCAAGAAGGACCCGAAACTAGAGCTCGACGCGTCGTTCAACAAGGCGTGGTTTTATCCTGGCTCGGGCGCGACCAACGTGCCCGACTGCGAGCACGACCACGGCGAGCCGCCCGAGGCCGACGAGGCCGACTACCCGCTGCTCTGGAACATTGGCTTGCCGTACCAAAAGGGGCACCAGGCGCGGCAGGAGTGGCGCCGCGTCTTCCGCACCAAAGTCCTCCCCCAAGTCGTCGCGTTCCAACCGGACTTGATCTTTCTCTCGGCCGGCTTTGACGGCCACAAGGCCGAGCTCGTCAACTGGGGCTACCTCGGCCTCCTCGAGCACGACTACGAGTGGCTCACGCAGTCGGTCGTCAAGGTCGCGAACGCGGTCTGCGGCGGCCGCGTCGTCTCGGTGCTTGAAGGCGGCTACAACTTTCACGGTCGCATCGCATCGTCGTTTGCTCGGAGGTATGTACAATGTAGCCAATCACCACCGATTCTGGACTTGATACATATATACGTAGCGTCGCGGCCCACGCCCGCGCGCTCGTCACCGGCGCACAGTCGGACGAGCCGTGGTCGGACGCGGCCATGGCGCACGAGATGCAGTGTGAAGACACGTTGATTCTCGAGGCGGCGCAGAAGAAGGCCCGAGGTAGGATGCTTCGTCCATTGCCAATGGAAATGACAGCGTACCATCTTGTGTAGCGGTCTTCCGCAAGTCGTTGGATGTCAAGCCGCCACGTGGTGACGAGGCAATTGCCGGCGAAGCTGCCGCAGTGCCCGTGCGCGCGACGAAGCGGGCGCGCAAGGACGTCGACTACGTGGCGCTCGCTGCGCAGTTGGCGTCCGAGAAGACATCGTAGAACGCGTATTTCATCTGGATTGTAACCCTACACTTGACACGAGGTGTGCACCTCCAGCGCAATTGAAGTACTCATCGCAAAGCGTCAAAATTGGAATTCAAGAGGATGTAGTTGCTAGAGCAGGGCGATGTACGCGTCGGCCTCCAATGTCCTTGGACGACGGCGCACCGTGGCAACGACGGCGACGGCGGCGCAAACGATGATACCGCCGGCCACCGGATGCGACACGACGCTCTGCTGCTCGATCGCGAGGGCGTCTCGTGCGATGCTGGAGGACGCCGTCTGTCGACATTGCTTGATGCTCGGGTGCGTTGACAGCGGTTGGCAGGCAAACGTCGAGATCGCGCTGTTGCAACAGCCGAGATCTTTTGCCGGCGTCAAGAGAACTGTGTTGCGTGCGTCCGGTGTGTCGGGAAACACGAGATGGCCGCCGCACGCCTGCGCCGGCGCTGGCTCCCGGCGTTGATCCAATGCCCACGACGCGTCGCAGTTGTCCTTGACGAACGATAGCGCGTGCGAGTCGAAGCGCGGTCGGTCGCAGTTTTGCATGTCGACGCTGAGCGACCGTGTCTTGGTGACGACCGGCTCGCCCGTGTGGGGCTGGAACTGAAAGGTGCAAAAGACGCGAATCGTTGTCGTCGGTCGGTTAAGCAGTTTGATCGCAAACGCCGTGTCCATGGCCGCGTCGACGGGAATGCTCCAGTTGGCCATCGTCGCGTTCGCATACTGCCACGCGCAGTCGATACCAAGTAGAGAGTACGTGGGCGCCTCAAGCAGGTTGGCAGACATGCCGTCGGCGCCGCACCACACGGCGCCTCGGCGCTTGGCGCACGCGCCCGGCAGAGCCGACGTGTCGCACGCGCCGCCCGCAAGACACCCGCGCACACACGTCTGTTGGCGATTCGTGCTCGGACAGCGGTACTGACAGAGCTTGGATGTCGACGGTCGCTGGCCGCTCGTGGGCTTTTTGGTTATAAGAGCCTTGGTCGGAGGCGGCGGCTCCAGCATCGCCTTGTGGAGCGCACTGGTCGGGTCCAGCCGGAAGCGGCAGACACCAAAGTCGGCGCCGGGTTCGTTGCAGGCGCTGCAGCTCCAGAGGCTGTTCCACCAAGCGTCAATGCTGATGGCTTCGGCGCGGTGCGAGTAGACAGTCCACGTCACGTCGGTCGACACTTGGCCGCACGCCGTCATGGCCCGAAAGGTGAGCGTGTCCTGAAACTTGCTAAACGTCAGCGCCTTCGAGTCGTCGACTGCGACCCATCGGTCGCCCTGCTGCACGAACCACGTGACGAGACGCGCCGCCGCGTCAAACTCCCAGTGCTGCGACGGCGCCAAGGTCGTCGAGAAGGTAAAGATGTCGCTGACGCGCCAGCGCACCTCGTCATCACAGTAGGTGGCGAACGACGCATTCGAGGGGTAGCACGGAAGCACTAAATGCACGTGGCGCGCCGACGGGCCAAGGTACCCGGCACCCGGAAACGCTACCTCGGGGTCGACCAGGTACGGTCCGTTGGGCGTGAGCGCGACGGTCGCGCTCGACACGAGGTCGTGGCTCGGCAGCACGAGCGACTGCGTGACGCTGCAGGTCTCGAACGCGTCGCCGGCGCAAACGGGCGTTGGCGCCACCTTGGCGTTGCACGTGAACGGCGTGTAGAGCTCTTGGAGGCTGACAAAGTAGCTGCACGTGCGCTGGCACACGCGGGCGTCGGTCACGAAGGCGAGTGGAGTCGTGAGCCGCTGGCGTTCGCGGTCCGAGAGCGGCGCGCGGAGGCACCCGAGCCACCCGTCGGGGGTCGCGTCCACGGCCGTCGCGGCGCCATCGAGCACGGACGTCGGGAACGCGCTCAGGAAGCTCGTTTGTATGACGCGCACCGTGTCACACCGGCGGCCGCTGCACGCGTCGTTGTTGGCGGCCGTGCGCCGAAACGCGAGCAGCCGATGCACTTGGTCGTCGGCGGCGTGGAGCGCGTCGACCGAGTAGTTGCGCGTCATCGTCGCGCCGCAGAGACCGTCGCGCGGCAGGACGGCGTACGGCCGCACGTAGTCGGTGACGGCCAAGCACGCTGTGCAGACCGGCGACGCTTGGCTCTGCTTGTAGTCGAACGCCTGCACGGCGTAGGTGTAGACGCCCGGCGCGTCCGGGAGCGCTTCGTACAGGAGGTCGCCGCCACTCGACTCGAACGTCTCGTAGTCGAACGTTTGCAGCGTCGAGTTAATTTGTCGGCTCGACCACTGCGCCGTGATCCGCGGACCGACGACCGGCGGGTCGAGATCGTAGTGGTAGCTGCTGCGCGGGTACGGAAACTCGAGCGGCGCGCCAACGCCGTAGACATTCGGAAAGCACTGGCGCGGCCCCGGCAGCACCGTGGTGAGGTTGTAGTTGTACGCGTGGGTGGCGCCGCCCCAGCTGCAGATCGTCGGCGGTGGCGGCGCCGCACTTGGTGTCGCGGACGGGCGCCGTGTCATGGCCGAGCGCAGAGTCGCGGACGGGCGCGGGGTGTATTGCTGCGCCGCCACCACGACCGCCACCACGGCGCTCGCTTCTACGACCCAACGCATGTGTGCAAATGGCCACAGACTGCATTCTGGAACGTGATGTTCGACGCTCGAAGACATGAAACATCGAAGCGTTTAACTTGATTTTGGCCGTTATCCGAGGACGGGCGCGTCAAACTGATCGAGCTGGAGCAGCGACGCTTTAAGCTGCGTGAGCTGGAGCCGGTAGCCGCGCGACTCGGCCTGCAATCGCGCGTTCTCTGCGCGGAGCATGCGCACTTCCTTGACGAGCACCTTCTTTTGGCCCTAGAAGTTTAGACTTATGTACAAGTTGTCGGCATCGCTCTTGGCAACCTTGGCCTGAAGGTCGAGGTCCCGCTTCTCGGCGGTCACGTGGCGGAGCATGTCATCGAGGACCTACGCTCAAGCAAGGGGAGCTACGGGCAGAGCCTGACGCCAAAAGGCGCACCTGCGTCTTGGCTCCGTGCTGCCGCTGGACGCGCTCGAGCTCGGCGCGGTACTCGTCGGTCTGCGCGACGTACACGCTCAGCTCGTCCTCGAGCTCCTGCACCTTGACGTCGAGGTATGCCAGCACCTCTCGGTCCAAGCTCGACTGCGCACCCGCCTTGGCCTGCAGCTATGAGAGAAGAGCGCAATCGTGGCGGACATACCGTCTCCTCCATCGAGGTTGCCAACGCTTCTTCGAGGTCCTACACGCATGTTGATGGGTCGCCAGAGGTAGGAAGCCGTCGAACCTTGAGCTTGTCCATGAGGAAATCCCGGACCTTCTCCGCGCCGTGGAGGCGAGCGCCAATGTCTTCCTTCTCGGCTTCGACCTGTGTGAGCGACGCCTCGAGCTGCTTCATGCGCAGCATGAGGTCTCGGAAGAACTTGACTTCGCGGTTGCTGAGCGACAGCAGAATCTCGTCGGCCTTGGCCAGCTACATCATCATAGCTTAGCACCACGTTCCTTGCTATTTCTGAGCATTTGCCTGGGTCTTGTCAAAGATGGACGAGGGTTTTCGCCGGATCGGGGTCGGCGGCGGCGTCACCTTGGCCGCTGTCGGCGCTTGGACGCCGAAGAGCATCTGCACGACGCTGAGCTCGAGCCTTCGTACAGCCAAAACGTACGGACACGCGTGTCTTCCATGCATGTCCCGTCATGCTCACGCGCAGAACGTCGTGGGCAGTGAGGAAGGCGAAGATGCCCATGACCACCTTGTCCGGGCAGTTGGCCAGCGCATCCGAGGTCACACGCGCTGCCGAGACCCTCTAGCGCACCCTTCGCATCACATGCATACGAGCGATACGAACGTACGTGGCGCGCGGGTGCGGCATGAAGGAGGTTGTGGATGCCCTGTTTTCGGTGCAAGTCGCGGATCTCTCGCTGGGCGCGCGCCAGCTCCCTGGTCAGCGAACCCATCGAGGCGAGCTTCTCGTTCGCCTCGTCCAGCTCTCGCTCGAGACTGCAATAGTACTACGTGAGAGACCTCGTCATAGATAGGCGAACGTACGCTTCGTGGCGAGCCGCGTCGAGGGCCACGTGCTCGACCTGCTTGAGAAGCTTCGTCGCGAGCGCCTTGCCTTGAAGGCGGAAGGCGTGCATCTGCTGCACCATCTAGGACGCTTGCATGAGCATTGCCCCAGAGAAGCGCGCGGTACCTTTTGCTTCTCGTCCCACTCGACGCGCTCGCGGACGGCCGACTGCGCCAGCAGCGCCTTGCAGCGGTGCAGCTCCTTGGCCATGTGGCTGCGCTCGACCTCGAGGTCCCATACCTCGACGTCGTTGACCATCTCTTCCAGCACGCTCTGAACGGTCATGACGACGACGATGTCATCGACGGCCGCGCCTGCTCGCCCGCGGACGTACGCTTCGACGGCGCTCTCCATGCTGCTGCGGATCCTCCGATACCGGCGTTTGATTTGCCGAAATGTCTATATTTTGCGCGAATCAAAACGCGCCAATCTGGGCGGCTCATCGTGTGGCATCTGCCGAATGTAACTTGGCGAATTCGGCACGAGACCCCATGACCAAGCAGGTGCCGGTGACGGTGCTCACGGGCTTCCTCGGCGCGGGCAAGACGACGCTGCTCAACTACATCTTGACGCAGAACCACGGCAAGCGCATCGCAGTCATCGAGAATGAGTTTGGCGAAGAGATCGGCGTCGAGAGCCTCATTGCGCGGGTCCGCGCTCGTGCATGGTACATGGCTCATAACGAAGGATGTAGGACGGCGCTGATGGCGAGACGTTCGCCGACTTCTACGAGCTCAACAACGGCTGCATCTGCTGCGCCGTGCGCGACGACCTGGTCTCGACGCTGGAAGAGCTCCTCACGCGGCGGGATCGCTTCGACTATGTGCTCGTCGAGACCACCGGTACGCCACCTCGCTGTGGTCGCATGATGTGGACGCGCTACGTATAGGCATGGCGGACCCTGGCAAGCTCGCGTCCATCTTCTGGGTCGATACGGAGCTCGAAGGGCGCATTGTGCTGGATGGCATCATCACGGTGGTGGATGCCAAGAACGTCGCCTTGCACCTCGATGGCGACGAGCACGGCCAACGCCAAGAGGCACTGTCGCAGATTGCGTACGCGGATCGCATCCTCATCAACAAGGCCGACCTCGTGCCATCCACGACCGACCGCGAGGCGCTCGAGGCGCAGCTCCACGGCATCAACGCCATCGCGCCCCTCATGTACATACTCCAGTCGTCCTAGCATGCTCATCGCCTCCTGTAGCTGGACGGAGCGATCGCAGATCGACTTGGATGCGATTCTCAACGTCCAAGCTTTCTCGTCCGAGCGCGCGCTGGACGTCGAACGGTTCTTGGCCGCGACGAACCAGGTTCACGCGCCTTTGGTTGGAACACTCGTTCAACAAGCTGTGCTGTGTAGACGGTGAGCAGCGACCACGCGCGCCAAGTGAGCACATACTGCATTCGGAGCGACGCACCGGTGACGATCGCCGCCATGGAGCGGTGGCTGGGCCACCTCTTGTGGGAGTCGGAGGAGTCGAGCCACTACTACCGCATCAAGGGCATCGTCTCGGTCGTCGACGACGAGCGCAAGTTCATTCTGCAGGGCGTCCAAGACCTCTTCGAGCTCACGCCGAGCGAGCCGTGGGCCGTCGACGAGCCGCGCGTCACCAAGATCATCTTTATCGGGCTTGAGCTCCAGCCCGAGATGCTCCAAGCCGGCTTGGTGTCGGCGACGCAGGACTTGGATTAAGACGACGACAATAAAAAGCGAGCTAAAATTAACCCGCAGCATGCCGCAGCGGCCCGTGGCGTACACGGCCAAGTACGAGTGCCCCGATGAGAACTACATTGCGACGCAGGAGCGCCAGCACATGGACGACGTCCACGACCAGCACCTGCGCGAGATGCGTCCGATGATCTCCAAGGACTTGACGCACGACTTTGTCCGGTCGGACGCACCCAACAAGAAGCGGCTCGCGCTCGAGCACGGTGGAGAGCTTCGTCGGCTTCGTTTGGCTGCTGACAAGGCGAACACGTAGAGCGCCAGATGGAGATTTCCCTTGAAAACAACATTCTGATCGACAAGATGCAGCGCATTATGGTGCGGAAGGAGCGGCTTAGCCACTTTCCAGACGTGCCAAAGGCGTCGATGCCCAAACCGTCCAACGCACCGATGCGTGAGCGCGTCCAGAGCCAAATCAAGAGCGAGAACGCCGCGATCAAGTCTCACCTCGCTCACGTCAAGGGCACGTACAACGTCGCCACTTGGGCCAAAGGTATTCAAGCCACCGAAATTGCAATCGATCGATAACGAGACGATGCAACAACTAGAAGCTGAGCAGACCAACCGGCTGGTGCAGCAAATCTCCAAAGTGCCACGGCGCGCCAAGACCAAGCAGCGCCGAAAGCGGCAGCCGAGGGCCGACGTCGACGCGACCCAGCTCGACGACTTTGAGTTCCTCGTGCTCACCAAGACCGACACGGGGCTGCCGATGCGCACGGCCAAAGAAATTCGCACCCACATCCAAAGCAAACTGCCCTCGATTCACCAAAAGGCAGCGATGTACATGCCATCATCATCTCCAGGGCGACCCAACCCGTTTGAGATCCCTCGACGACCGTTCGAGTAGCGTATTCTTGGCGCTTATTTAGCATCGTCTAGCGACGCGTCTTGGCCTTCTTGGCCGGCGGCTTCTCTTCGTCGTCGGGACTCGACAGGAGGTGTGCCGTGCTCGGGCTTGCCTGCGCGAGGTCAATGCGCTCGTCCGTCGGAATGTAGGCGTAGATGCCGTCTAGCCACATACGAGGTTACGAACGCAAGCAAGCGATGTACGACGTACCGTCCATGATGCACGTCTTGGTGCGCTTCCAGACCGTGAGCGTGTCGATGCTCGAGTGCCACGACGGCAGCGGCACCTGCAGCACCTTGTGGAAGACGGCCGAGAGCCGCGTTTGGAACTCGGGCGCCGACGTCCGGCCCCACGGCTCGGGGAGGCACACGGTTTGCCCAAGCCACTCGCCAATGTGGATGATCGTGTCGCCCGTAAAGTGGTTGAGGCACTCGTTCGCCATCGACTCTTCACTGTCCTCAAAGTCGTCGGGGTAACAGAGCAGGAGCGTGCGCTTCGAGTGCTTCTTGAGCACCTACATGTCCACGGTTGTCCTTTGCCTCTCTCGCCGCAAAGGCCATCGCACCTTGGGCGTGCCTTGCTGGACGTCCAGCCACGTCATGCGCTCCTCTGCCTCTTCGTCATCGTCATCGTCGGACGAGTCTTGCTTGGCGGACGCCGTGCCGGGCACATGCAAGTCAAAGCACTTGACGTCGACGCCCCGCAGCTGGAGCAGACGGCCCCAGTAGCCACTGCCCGCACCCATCTCGACGACCTAGCACGCTCTGAGCCACCGATAGTTCGAGCGATCGCTGTACCGGTCCGTAGTGCTTGATGATGCGGAGGGCGCGCTCGTCCGGGATGGCCCACGAGTACTTCTAGTCTCTCGCAGAACATGAGATGACGCTAGAGCGCAGGATCGTACGGCAGCGACGTTGTCATCGAGGAGGTTGAAGAGCTCTTCGCGCGTCTCGTCGTCGAGCTCGGGGTCGAAGAGGCGCGCCATCTCCTTGGGCTGCTTGGCCTCAAAGTCGCGGTAGAAGTCGAGGTACGGGTTGCTCGTCGCCGTCAACGTCGCGCTCTCGGGGTACACCTTGCTCATGTTTGTCGTCTACCTACGCACGCATGCTCATCGCCTGCTCGGTTCAGCGCTTGCTCCGTGTCTACCTGGTCGCTGCAATGGCCCCGATTCTATTGGATCTGAGTTCGCGCCAGACCATTGGCTATAATGTTGATTCTTTTAGCCAATCAAATGCGCTGCGGCATTGGATTCGTCCATCGACCTGGCCAATCCGGTGCGTCCAGTTGGGTGTCGCCCCTCTAAGCGATACGAAACGACTTGAAGTTTGTATGCTTGTGATGGGACTTGAAGCCGGACCATCTTGGTGCCAGTGTCCACAAGCCCCATTTGCCGATTCGCCAGCATGCTGCGCTTGCTCCTGCTCGGCGCCGCCGCCGCCATGGGCCTCGAGCTCCAGGTCTGCCACGTCACGTTGATGAGCATGCACGATAGCAGCACCTCTAGGTGCCTTCGGTGCTCCTCACGAGCGTGCCCTTCACGGCCACAATGACGTTGCCAGGTGCGAGATCGTTTCGCGCGCACCCATTTGAGCGCAGTCGTGTAGCGGGTTCGTATCCGACGTTGCTCGACTACACGATCCAAGACCAAGCCGGCGCGTACCTCGCGTCCGGTGTCTGGAATGTATCGCAGCCGCTGACCACGACGCTCTCTCTCGACGCCTCGGGTACGTGAGTCTTATGACTGCCCACGCGCATCGTTGATGTAGGCGCCAACGTCTTGCGCTGCCACGCGTGGTCGAACGCGACGAGCCTCAGGGCGACGCGCGACGTGCGGAGCTTTCCCGGCTACGTCTCGCTTCTCCCGCCGCTGATCACGCTTCTGTGCTCGCTCCTCATGGGGTACATCCGCCGTTGCGCCTTGCGTGGCGTACTATCTTTCTTCGGTGTCTAGGCAGGTCATGATTGCGCTGCTCGTGGGCATTTGGTCGGGCGCGGCGCTCGTCTCGGGTGTACGTCGACGGGAGGGGAACGCTAGAAGCATTATTTTGGTTGTAGGGGAATCTCTGGCTCGGGTTTCTGCACACGTTTGACGTCTACTGGGTCAACGCGTTCGTGGACCGCAGCCACGCTGGCGTGCTTCTCTTCACCATCATCCTCGGCGGCACGATCGGCGTCGTGCAGAAGGGCGGCGGCGCGCACGGCCTTGCGCACCTCGCGGCCTCGACGATGCGCACGTCGTTCCGGATGCAAATCTCGACGTGGGTGCTCTGCTGCTGCCTCTTCTTCGACGACTACTCGATGATCCTCATCCTCGGCTCGAGTCTGCGCCAGATCCTGCCGCGCACGGGCGTCAGCAAGGAGAAATTCGCCGCGATCATCCACACCATGGGCGTCTGCCTCCCGTCAATGGGTATTCCATCGTCCCTCCCGACCATGGTAGTAGTTAAGTATGACGGTGTAGCGCCCGTGAGCTCGTGGATCGGCGTCGAGATTGGGTACGTGGCCGCTGTGCTCACGTCGCTCAACTTGGACTGGGATCCGTTCGTGACGTGCCTCTCGAGCCTCCAGTACCGGCTCTTCCCCGTGCTCTTCATCGCGTTCATCTTCATTATCATCATCTTTGAGAAAGACTTTGGCCCGATGCTCAAGTACGAGCGCGCCACGGCCGAGGCCGCCGACGATGTGGGCGTCGACGAATTGGAGACCGACCAAATCGAAAGCAATGAGCTCGACGACAACGACGAGAAGCCGCTTGGCCCCATGGAGCCCAACCCGCGCAAGCCGATGCGGGCGCTCAACGCAGTCGTGCCCTTCACCATCATCGTGGCCGCGACCTTTGTGGGCATGATCCTCGACGGCTTCCAGTCGCTCGCGGCCGAATTCCCCGGCGAGTCGTTCGGCGTCCTCGACGCACTCAGCCATAGCGACAGCGTCGCCGCGCTCATTCGCGCCTCGGCGCTCGGCTGGGTCGTCGCCGTCGTCTTGCTGCTCGTGCAGCGCATCCTCTCGATGCAGGAGGTCATGGGCGCGTGGATCGAAGGTGTCAAGGACGTCATGGAGCCGACGCTCATTTTGACGCTGGCCTGGGCCCTCGGCGCCGTCATTGGCGAGGTCCAAACCGCGGGGTAGGCGCAGGGTCTACTTGGAGGAGGTGTATATTACGGTCGAGTAGGTACATTGCGTCGACGCTGCACGGGCAGATCGCCCCGGGCTACCTCCCCGCGATCGCCAGCGTGCTCTGCTGCGTCGTGTCGTTCGCGACAGGCACCTCGTTTGGCACGATGGCCATCATGCTGCCGATTGTAACGCGTCGAGGGAGAAGGATCGAGACTCACGGCCGTGGCCCTAGATTTGCCCGCTCTCGTTCAAGGTCTCGGGCCAGGATGCGGCCAACTTGATGCAGTGCATTGGCGCCGTCCTCGGGTCCTCGGTCTTTGGCAACGCGTGCTCGCCGATCGCCGACACATCGATCATCACCGCGCTCAGCGTCAACATGCCGCTCCAGAACCACGTCGAGAGCATCCTCCCGTACGCACTCGTCGTCGCTGGCACGTCGAGCGTCGGGACGCTGCTCCTCGGCGCCCACGTCGTCACGACCTTCACCGCCTTTGCGCTCTGCTTTGTGACGCTGCTTGGCCTCGTCGCGTTCTGCGGCTCGCGCGTGCCGTCGCGCTTCCGGAGCAGCTCGAACGCATCGTCGGTTCTGAGCCTCTCGCCATCGCATCGGTGGGTCGACGCATCGATACTCGCTTTAATAACGCGTGTGGTTAGGTACAGCTTTCTTAGCACCGTGTCGCCGCCTGCGTCGCGGGAACAAGACCGGCTGCTGCCGCCGCCGGCGCCGGCTTCATCGAGCTCGAGCGTCCTCGACTATGTCCACAAGCTCTTTCCGTCGACCAAGCCCTCGGAAAAGAAGACGACCCCCGCGTGAGCATGGCGCGTAGAGTGTATCGATCGCCGAGTGCTCTCCCGGCGTAGTAGAACGAGTAGACTATGGTTAAAACCTGCGTTGCCTCCGGACGAGATGTCAGCCTCTAGCTCAAGCTTAGTGCTGCGACTCCCCCGCTGGCTTGGACGATGTGCCGAGGCCGGTGTGATCGCCAGGGCTCTGCACAACGACGACCGCGCGGCTCTTCTTGTGCAGGAGGTGCGACGGAACCGTGGGAATTCCCATGCCTTCGTGCCACGGCTGCGGCGCTTGTGGCTGGTCGGGCGCGGCCAGGGGCGCGGGGGCGATGGCCGGTCGGTCTTCGGGAAACGTGACGTAGAAGAGCGCGTTAAAGTGGCGGCAGCGAAAGGTGTAGCCAACGCCAACGACGAAGATGAGGTACAAAAGCTCTTGGACGACGGGAACGAGTGCAAGAAGCGGTGCGGCAAAGAGGCGGTTCACAACCAGGTTGACGGCGACCACGGCCATAAAGTAGACAAGTATGTACCGGCGAAACGCGAGAAACATGCGCAGCTTGGTGTACACGGGCGTCGTCTCGGGCTCGATGAAGGCGCGCGCGACGAGGTCCATCTGGACGCGGAGGATCGCAATGTTGAACGCCGAGTGAAACCAGATCCTAACTCTCAACCATAAATACTCCAACCAGAACGACGCAGGCTACATGTAGGCAAGAAGGGCCCATGATACCACCCACGTCAAGAAGACGAGCAGCGAGATGGACGCTGACGTCTGCATCGCCGTCAGCGTCGCGGCCCAGACGAACGACACGATGCGGTAGTGCATCGACTGCTGCACAGACACGTCGTCGCGCGTGATGCGCCAGCCGTGCGCGATGAGAAGCGTCTCGTGGGCTGCGACCGCGAGCGAGATGACGCGGCACGTCGCCGTAGCGTTGAAGAGCAGCGGCGACGGCGTCTGGTTCAAGCTCACGGTGGCCATGATCATAAAGAGCAGCTACGTTCACCTCAGTCGTCGCAGTGGATTTGCATGGTACCTCGGCCACGGGCACCACAAGCATGCGTCGCTGGAGCAGCGTGAAGGTCTCACGGCAGTAAAGGATGTTGGCGACCCAGGCTGTGGCGCAGGCGGCCCAGAGCAGCACGAGCGCAATGTAGAGGGATAGCAGTGGCACGGTCGCGTCGCCAAAGCAGAGGCTATGGCTGTCGCACACGGCGAGGTCAAAGGCCGAGACGACGACGACGGGGGCGACCGGTGGGACGAGGCCGAGAACACCGCAGGCGTCGAGGATAAAGACGAGTCCGGTCGCGGGATTGAAGCCTACAACACATGAGCGCTGCGGCAACCAACTACTGCAGCGTCCTACTGGGTGCGAGCACCTCGGAGAGCGTGAGCGTGCCAGTGTAGTAGGTCGCCGTGGTTGCGTCGGGTATCAGCGGGTACGTCTCGCACGAGGACGCAAACGTGTTGATGGCGCACGCGTTCGCAAGGCTCCCGAATGCATTGGGGGGGCAAATGTGCATCATCAAGAGGAGGTGGACGGAGCTCGGGCGCACGGTCGGGAGGCTCGCGTTCAGTGTCACCGTAAAGGCCCCGCCCAGCGCGACCTGCGACGCATTGAGCGACCCGAGCACGCTCACGTACGACGCGGTCGTCGCACCGGCGGCCAGCATATGAAGCATTTTCGAGTCCGAATTCACAAGAACAACGGAAATAGGTATGGATGATGTATTAGTATATCGACGACCGTTACGTACTGGGCTTGACCGTGGGGAGGCCGAGACTCGTGGCGTCGGCGGGGCCTTGCACAACGACGCGGCGGGGACTCGCTTGCGGCAATGGAGCCTCGGCACCTAGCCGCAGTTGACGTGAGAGAGTAGCGTCGGCACGTACATACCTCGGGCGGGCAGTATCAACGTCGCGTCTTGAAACTTGCGGCAGCGGAAGAGGATGCCGATCGTGATGCAGAAACCCAAATACAAGAGTTGAATCACGGCGGGAATGAAGCCCAGCATCATCAGCGGCAAGACGACGAGCAAGCCCAAGGTGGCAACGCACACGATCACGCAGTAGTTCAAAACGACTTGGCGAAGCGCGAGAAAAAGCTCGAGCTTGATGTACACGGGCGTCATCTGCGGGTTGACGAAGAGCCCGCGGATGAGCTCGAGCTGGATGTTGAGCGTGCGCAGTAGGACGCGCACGTCGTGGAGGATGCTATGGATAGGATATCGACGATCGAATCGAGGTAGGGTGCTGTACATGTAGAAGAAACACATCCAAAGTAGGATCCGGCTAACACCATCAAAAAGCGAGACGTAGGTTTGGAGCGAGAGGAGCGTGAACGAGATGCCAAACGAGATGGCGAGCGTCGCGATCTGCACATAGTGCAGCGGACGCAGGTCGTAGCGCGTGATCTTGGCGCCATGCGAAAGCAAAACTAGCTCGTTGATGCTCACGGCGAGTGCGACAGCACGGGCGCCGAGGGTCACAATGACCAAGGTCGAGTCGCTCGACGATACATCGTTCCACGCCGTCAGTGCCATGTACACCATCTACCGAGTTGTCGCATACGCAAATACGAAAGAGAGAGCTACCTCGACGACCGGTACGAGCAGCATGCGGCGCTGAAGGCTCACGTGCGTCGTGGTGTGTAGTAGAATGTGCATCGACCACACGAGGGCGACAAGAGCCCAGAGCAGCGCAAAGGCGCCGTGCAGCCACACCATGGGCAGGAACCCGCCGTCTCGGAAACAAATGTAGTTGCCAGGGCAGTAGAGCCACTTGTAGCTGCCACGCACTGCAATGCGCTGCGCGTCAAACTCGCAAAAGTCCAAAAGCAGCACGTAGCTCGTTTCAGAGGCGTACGGCGCGGCGCCTCTGGGGTCGGCGGTCGCCGAGATATCTAGAAATCCGTGATAGATACCCGACGCGTCGATGGCAGCGTCGAGCGTGTACGCGTCGCAGTCGGTGGTGAGCCGAATCGATCCGTTGCAGACGCCGCTGTCGAGGACGAGAAGGCTCGAGGCGGTGTACGACGGCAAAGTGCCGAAGACCGAGCTGCCGCAGACCCGCGCGTGAATCGACGCGTTGATCGTTGGCGGCGAGTCCAAAAACACATCGATGCGCAGTCTGTATGTGTCAACGTCAAGCGACTGGGACGAGGTAAAGGCGCGCAGCTGCAGCACGCTGTCCGTGGTGGCTGCAAACGAGGTGTTTACAGGTCGTTGGCTCTGCACCGAGACCGCAACTGCGAAGAGCACGGGCAAGAGCCGACGCATACCTCGCATTGTGGCGTCAGTGTGCGCCTACCGTTAGAAAGGCTCGACTCCGACGCTATATTTTTAGACTCGATTTGAACGAGGTTAGGGTTCGTCAGGATTTGAATAAGGAAGGCTAGGGTTACGTATTGGCGCGTTATTAGTCGTATGTAACTTGAACGTTCAGAGCGAATGTTCTCAGTTGGAGTTGCCAATCGGGCGGATGGAGGTGCCGAGACTCGCAGTGTTTCTGGGTCCTCGAATGACAATTGCGTTTTTGGTTTTCGTTGCACCGGGAGCTAAAGGTCATTTTAACACTTGTCACCACTCGATACGCGTCCGACCTGGGGCGGGGGCAACCGCGATGGTCGACGACGGGGGCAACGAAGCAAAGATTGCGGTCGTGGCACGTCGGCAGCGCAAGATGAACCCGAGGCGCCCCCAGAACCCGAGAAACAACACCTCCAAGGCGACCGGCGCGAGGTTCGTCAGCATCAGCGGGAGTTGGCTGAGCCCAATACAGACGACTGCTACAATCAGCGGGTAGTAGCAGAGACACGATTCAAGGCTTAGAAAGAGCTGCAGCTTTCGGTGCGCGGGTGTGACCTCCACGTTGGTAAACGACGTGGCCACGGCCTCCACTTGTTGGCGCAGCACCTTCATGTTGAAGCTCAGGTTTTTCCCAATCCTACAATTACACGCGATGAGTGCGCTGGAACGTGATATACTGACGCACATGCAGACAAAACCGAACCACGACATGACCCAGATAAAGTCAAAGGCGAGTCGCATCTCTCCTGGAATCGTCGTCGTGAATACGGTCATTAGCGTCGCCGACATGGTCGCGGCGACGGCAAACTCGGTCTTTTGCTGGCAGTCGAGGGTGTCGCGGGTGATCTGCCACCCGTGCGCAAGGCAGAACAGCTCGTTCAGCGCCACGGCCAACGCTGCGCATCGACCAACTTGCACCAGCGTTAGCGTCGTAGCACTCGGTGGCCTCATCTCAATGACGGCGACAAGGGTCAACGCAAGCATCTACAAACCGCTACATCAAAATGACCTCGTGCATAGTCATCTGTACATGAATGAACGGGACGCGCAGTATACGCCGTTGGAGGCCCACATACGTGGACGCTGCGAAGAGCAAGACGTGGACGCACCAGAGAAGGGAAGCGGTGCCCCACGCCGCTGCGAGCGCCACGTACATCCACAGAACCGAGAGTGTGCGGCCGTCTGCGAGGCAGACGGCGCTTCCGGAGCATAGCTGCCACGTATAGTTGCCTGTGACGACGACCGGCGCTCGGCGAGCGATGGCGCAGAGGTCGAGCAGGACGACGCGCTGGGATGGATCCCCTAAACGAGTCTTGAACGGTGGAGCACCGGGGGAACACACCGTCTTGATCGACAGTGTCCGCGTACTCAACAGACCCTGCAACCAAGTGGCCGCTGCGCTGCGTCGGTACCGGGAACCTAGAGCAGATCGCCGCGAGAGACCCGTTACAGTGCGAGTCAGCCGGCAACGCGAGGACGCTGTCGTCGCAGATCCTCGCGACGATCGACCCGTTGAGGCCGGGTACGTCATCGAAAGCCAGGTTGATGCGAAGGGCAAAGACATCGACCCCGAGCGACGTCGACGTGTTGAACTCGACAAGCGGGACCAGCGACGCGTTAAAGACGCGAAATGAGTCGTGGACAAGAGCGCCGTGTCCAGCGCATAGGCAGCTAGCGACGACAAGGACCAGCTGCGACCGTCGTCGCATCGCCTTGCTATATATATTGATAGGTTTCATTCTTTAGACGTTTATTCGCGTTAATCAACACTGCAGTACTGGCTGTAAGCTCAATGCAGTCGCGTACCTGCACAGATGTATTAGACAGTGTTGTGCGGACGCCGGGACAAGCGTCAACGATCGCCGCGGTCAGCTCAGTCCAAAGCTCCTTGTTTCGCGCCAAGGCGGTGAGCGCCGTGAGTTCTTCGCGGGTCCTGACGCGTTTCTCCACAGCAAGTCTTCACGGCCCCTGTCGACCCACGAATGCTTGCTTTCCAAGTACTCTGCAACAAGCGCAAGAGATCCGAAGGAGCCACGAATCTGCGTACTCGGACCTCCAGTACATGATGTACAGGAGTATGCAGATTCGTGCAGCCTCAGTAAGTTGCATGAGGCCAATCGCACCGACGGCGAGACTCGCTTGACCACTCGACATGCCCGTTTCGACGCTGTGAGGCCGACGTGGTCCTGAAACGGCTCGCGTGCTGCCACGTATGGGATCCGGATAAGGTTGCCATTCAGATCCAGGCAAGGACACCATCTTGCAGTCGTAGCAAGTAGAGGTCTTGAGAGCCTTTGTCTGTACCTGCACTGTCCTTAGTGATGCCAAGGACCTGGTATGATGAACTACTGCAAGCCTTTGAAGTATCTACGTGCCGATGAACGTGTAGAAGGCACAGAAACAACTTGTCTGGGAAGAGGAAGAAGACATATTTCACCACGCTTCATTATGAAAATATCCAAAAACAAAAAGCTCAGGCCGTGAGAGCGTCGAGGCGCGCGTCGGCGCGGGTGCGCTTGTGCTTGCGGTGGAGACGGTAGTAGGTCCAGTCGCGGCAGAACGTGCACATGTACGTGCCCGCTAAGAGGACCGTGTTGGTGGCCGAGGTCAGCGCATTCGGCTGAAAGAGCGCGCACTCGTCGCAGCACGGCTCGGGCCCACGCTTGCGCATGTTGAACGGATGCTCGTCCGTGAAGCTGACCATGACAACCTCCTTGGTGGTCGCAGCCAAGGGATGAGAATCGTCGTCATCTTCAAGGAGGTCGTCTGGAGCCGCATCCGTCGACACAGCCGGCGCGACGCAGCCAGAGGCTTCGTGTTGATTCTGAGCTCGGAAATCGGCGATTTTGGGCTTTGGCGGTGGAACCTCGCCGGCCGCAATCGCCTTCTTTCGCGCCCGACTAGGAAAAGACATGAGAAAACCACTCGGTTTGATCGCAGGACATGGTACCGAGCTCGCTGGTATGCGGTTTTGTACGCCGAATTCGCCTTGCGCCACGACTTGTTCTTGGCATGACAGACAAAGAGGGTGGGGCGCGGAGAAGGGCGCCGTCGTTGAAGTGGAGCAACGGGCGTTTGCTTGGTCCGGATAATGCGCGGCGCACAGCCTGCCAGCTCAGAGTCGTCCGGATATGAAAATCGAATCCAACGGGCTCGTGGCACAAAATGGGCTCGTGGTGTCATTCTCCAACAAGCCATGCAAGTGACAGACGACGTCAAGAAGGCGCGGAAGCGCATTGCCGCCAAGAAGTACTACGCTGCGAACAAGGAGAAGCTCGCGGCCCAGAACAAGGCGTACTACGAGAAGAACCGCGCGCAAGCGCTGGCGAAGAAGAAGGAATACCACCAGA